CTGTCTCTTTCTGTCAAATAAATAAATAAAATCTTTAAAAATAAAAAAATAAAATAAAATAAAAATGTCTAGTGAATGTCTAATTCAAAAGACTTGGATTCTCTATACCCAAGAATTGAAATATTTATATGCTAATGAGGTTCACACGGCAGCATTATTCACAATATCCAAAAAGTGGAAAAAACATGTGTCCATTGACAGATTAGTAGATAAACAAAAGTGGTATATACATATAATGGAATTTTCTTCAGCCCTAGGAAGTAAAAAAATTCTAACATATGCTACAAATGGATGAACCTTGAACATAATATGCTAAGTGAAACGCAACGACAAATACTGCATGATTCCACTTACATGAAGTAGAGTAGTCAAAATCATAAAAGACAGAAGAACTTGAGGACTTGTTATCGAATGGGTATAGTTTCAGTTTTACTAGATGAAAAGAGTTCTAGACATTGGTTTCACAACAATGTTGATGTATTTAACACTATTGAACCAAACACTTAAAAATGGTTAAAATGGTAAATTTTATATTTTGCCTCAACTGAAAAAAACAGGTGAATAACATGCATGAGTCAAGGGTTTAGGGGGCTGTCCCCCCTCCACACACAATGTCCCCATTCTAAAGGCACCCTCCCCCCCTAGGGACTTCACACAACACAGCTGCCCCCAAAAGGTCCTCCCACAGGCCCTTGTGTGCCTGTGGGATGGGGGTGCAGTGGGGGTGTCTGTGTGGGGTGGGGGTTTCTGGGTGGGGGTGTCTGTGTGGGTTGGAGTGGGAGTGTGAGGTGGGGTAGAAGTGTCTGTGTGGGGTGGGGTAGGAGTGTGTGTGTGTGGGTTGGGGTCGGTAGGGTGGGGGGTGTCTATGGGGGTTGGAGTGGCAGTGTGAGGTGGGGTAGAAGTGTCTGTGGGGGCTGGGGGTGTCCGTGTGCGTTGGAGTGGGAGTGTGAGGTGGGGTAGAAGTGTCTTTGGGGTGGTGTCTGTGTCGGGCAGGGTGGAGTGGGGGGGGTTGTCTGTAAGTTTACACCACACCCCACAGCCCAGCTCCAACCTCTGAGGAAAGGACCATCTGGGCCGAGTCTCGACGTCCAAGTTTGCTTTAACTTGGCTTCTTAATGGCCGGGTGACAGCGACTGTCTTCTTCCCGATCCCCTCCCCCAGCCCCCAACCCCTGACCCATTTTAAGTGTACAATTTAGTGTCTTTTTAGCAAATGCAAGAGTGGTGCAACCATCACCGCAATCCAGTTTTTGGACATTTCCCTAAGCCCACTTTGCCTTTCTGAATCCCCGCGTCCTCAACTGTAAATGGAGATGACACGAGGCTAGCACAGATTTTACCTATTATTACCCTTGCTGATGACGGTCTGTTTTATATTACTATCCCTTCCCTCTCGCAGTGCGACCCTAGCCCGCCGCGCCAGCGCGAGGACCGCGTCCAGTGGGGGAGAGGAGGTGGGACTGGGGTCGCGAAGGCTCGGCGCGGGTTCTGCCCAGGCGGCCCGTACCGCCCCACCGCCTGCGATCGCGCAATCGGGCCTCTCCCGGCGCCCTGGCTGCGGCGGGCGACGCAGCTGCGGGCTGGATTGGTGATGCCTGGGCGCTGCGCGCGCCTGCGCAGTGGGGAGGGTCGTGCGCGCGCTGCGGCGCTGCGGGAAATCCCTCGGAGCGTGGTCGCGGCTGCTCGACACCGGACTGCCGCACCATGGCGGAGGAGGAGCTGGAGGCTCTGAGGAAACAGAGGCTGGCCGAACTGCAGGCGAAGCATGGGGTGAGTACGGCCGTCCCCGCTGGGCGCCGTCCTCGCCCGGGGTGGAGGGCGCGGCCCCGGGCGGAGGCTTGGGACGC